TTCTTTCGGTTAGCAAAACCAGGTAGATCTTTTGTAAAAGCGAAGTGACATTGTGTGAACTTTCAAAAAGCCTAGGAGTGCATTAATTAATCCTGTATTTGAAATCTGAAAATCTGGCTTTGAGACATTGGCAGAATAAAACTGATTTGAGCCCACCTAAGCTGGTAAACGTGGAGTAGCGGGCACAACATCATGGGGCTCCTCAGCACAACTGGGATGTCTCTCAGGCCACACTTGGCAAATTGCCTCTCCAGAGTACTTTCAGTCCTGCTCGATGGATTCTTCCACAGTTCCTAGCTCTCAGCTACAATAACACTCCTCAAAGGAAGCTTTCCTTGCCCTGTGACTGTATTCTTACGGCCCCCCTGCACCTCTTCGTTCTTACAGCAACCAGAGTTAACATGTATAGAATTAGTTTGTTTTGGATTCTTTATCCTGATCCTCTGGATGCCTGGCCTATACCTAGCTCAGAAAATTGTTATTCAAATAATAATGAAACCAGGATTTAATAATCCCAGTTATGTAAAAATGCTCAAATATTTGAAAAATGGATCTAGGATTAAAACCATATTTTAGTTAGATAAAATGAATAGGCAATTCCTTCTTCTCTACTGGTTCATGTTTGTTTTGACTAAAGGTGTTGGAATTCAAACTTCAAGGACCTTCTTGAGGCAGAGCTGTTGCCGCCTGCGTCCACAGAGTCACGATGGCATTGCCTTCTCTTGGAGGTTCTAGGAACATTATTTCAGAACTCCTATTGAATATCCTAAAGTAGTTCAACAGAGAAATCTGAAATGATACCAAGAATTTAGTGCTTTATGATGCTGAAGATACATTTTCACCAGTCTGATCCTGTTCTAAGTAGCAGTTGTCCTTGCAGATTAGAAAGTATGCCATGTGGCATACTACTCAAGACTCCCTTTTGTTGATAAGGAAATGGGAGGTTCTATCAAGGTCAAGAACATGTAGTATTCCTGATGAGAATCAGTTGAGTTTTTTACTTAGCCATGTGAGTAACTTTTGAGTTTATTGTTTAGGAATGTGTTACTGAGGAATTGTAAGTAGTAGTAAAATCTTGTGTTACAAGGTTTTTGCATTTACATGAACTTTCACTCGTTTTTCAGAATCTGTTCCTAGAGACAGAGAACCCAATACAAAAGTGAGAACATGTATGCATAATCAGAAGGCTGCAGTGCAAATGCCTAGTGAAAGTCTGAAAGCAAACATGGTGCCTGAGAAAGTTCTCCGCAGATGTGCCGCTGTGCCTGCAAATAAAATAAAAATAATGAGTAATCTCAAGGAAACGATTTCAGGACCAGAAAATGCCTGGATTAGGAAGAGCTGCAGAAAGCTGCCGCATCGAAATGCTTCTGATGTGGCTAAGAAAAAATTACTGTTTATAAAGAGGATGATACCACCATAAATTCTGACAGTGAAAAAGAGCTAGAAGATATTAATAGCAAAACGCTTTCTTTCAGGCAGTTCAGATCCTGGAAAGCAAAAGACAATAGTTACTATGGGAATGTATAAGCGGGATCAGGGGCCACAAGTAAACCGGCAGTTGCATTCTGCTTCGAGCTCTAAAGTTAATCCCTTGTTGGCTCCTTTTTGGGGAGTTTTCTAAAAGCCATAATCCAGCGGGTCACAGTGGGAGGAAGCCTTCCTTCCAGTGATCCCTGGTACAGACACCCACTACAGAGAAGTGGAGAGAAGAGACAAGTGGCCTGTCCTAAGATTGTTCCTTTTCAGAAAGGAAGGGCCTTCAAGAAATCTCTTGATTCCTGGGCGCCTGGGTGGCTCAGATGGTTAAGCGTCTGCCTTCGGCTCAGTTCATGATCCCAGGGTCCTGGGATCGAGTCCCACATCGGGCTCCCCGCTAGCGGGGAGCCTGCTTCTCCCTCTGACCCTCTCCCCTCTCATGCTGTTTCTCTCTCGCTCGCTCTCTAAAAAATAAATAAAATCTTAAAAAAAAAAAAAAAGAAATCTCTTGATTCCTTAGAGGAAAAAAATAATGGGAAGTGTACAGGCTCTGTAGCAAAAACTTCAAGGACTGAAAAAAAAAAAAAAAAAAGGTCAAAATCGCAACCTGATGCTAATTTTAAGGGTTCAGACCAGCACGGCTACGGTGTGTCATTACTGCAGTAAGGGGGAAAAAAGTAGGCACATTTCAAGAGAAGTGCCACTGAGCCCAATAGACTTTTGAGCGAAGCAAATACTTTCATAAGATCCAGTCCCTAGAATTCATAACCTCAAAAGTCAAAAACAACTTAAACTAGAAGGACCTGGGGATTCAATGATGGGGATGTTGATAGTCGAGTTCTGAAACAGAGTGTGGGGAACAGGCAATTAGGGAAAATCCATTAATGTCTTATTTTGTTTATAATACTGGAATTCATACCGAATGGTGACCACTTGATATGACTAATTCAGGGAATATATATTTTTCTATGAAGGCTATGAATGTGACTATCACAACTCCTTTTCCTCATTTTTACTTGCACATAACAGCATTTACAGAGATGCCAAAATGTGCCTCATTATGGGGCAAGGTCTTAGTTTTAACCAGTTAGAAAATAAAAGGTATAGATGAAGATCAAAAGAGTCATATTTTTGGATGATACAGTGACATCCTCTTATGTTTCTCTACAGCACCTTAAAAATTAGTGCTTTATGTACACTTTGAGCAAATTAATTACAATCTCATCACAACAAACTTTAACGACAGCATGTGTGGGCTCTTGTGGCCTTTGCTAGGATTAGAAAATCTGATCTTGATACTATAAAGAATTCTTTGCAGTGAGGTTTAATTTGTTAACAGGTATTTGTTGAAATTAAGATCACCAGATTAAATGAATGCACTGTTGAATCTTTTTAACATAGTGACATGCTATTGGAAAAATGAGTTGTTAGAAGCAAGTTGCTTTCCCATTTAAAAATATCTGTGAATATTAATATATGATTTGCATGTGTAAATCTGAAAAAGTAAAATACAGAAAACTGAGGGTTTCTATTCCTTTTTCATTAAAAGACTAATGTAATGCATATATTTTGGTTATACAGATAGACCCAAGTGTCTAGATTACTTGAGAAGTTTGTGGTTGCATGTCTGCTTAAAAAAAAAGGCTTTTTGTCCTTTTTTTTTGCCCTTAGCGTAAGCCAGGATATTTCTAACCTACAGAGTCTGTGTCCTTTGCTCTGTTTGTGGTAATACTTTCATCTGAAATACGATACCAGTATCTTGTTACTCGTACAGGTGAGAAAAGGAAGAATTCCTAATAAACTGCTAATATTTTGAGGCGCATGGGGTTTGATTTTTGATTGCTAATGAAATGTTTAGACCGATTTCCACTCCCATATTTACCCTTAATTTTATAGAAATTTCTCATTGGGGCTGTTATATCCTCAACAAATACCATAAAATGAAAATATCTAAGTCTCGGTTAAGACTGTCTTATGCAAAATTTCTTGTCAATTTCAATGTAATCAAAGAACTTGTTTTCAATTTACAACGTTCTGTGATGGTGTTAATTTCCGTCAGCACTTGAGGAGGTGTCACCAGCCTTCTTTTGTAACGGAATCTCTGCTGGTTTAGTACTTAAACTGAACATCTATTTGCCTTTTTTTTGAAGTGCTTGGCCTAAATTTATTGTAACGGCATGAAATAAGCATTTGCTTAAAACTTAACATTATTGTAAAACTCTCTCTGAAATGTACGCAGAATTTAAATCACAGGCCAAATGTATTATTATTACCCTACTCATAATTTTAATCAACTTTCTAGAAATGACTTCTTCGTAATGTAACTGTGAAATCAAATCGCGGTCAATTTTACTGGTAAAAATGACAAGTTACTTTATTCGACAAAAGGACTAAGACAAAGTGATAGCCAAACATCCTTTTTATTCTGCAATTCAGTCATTCTGTAAAACAACCCGGGAGTATCAGTGTAGCTTAAAAATATCACATTGGTAACCTTGCTAACTACTCGCAAAGTTTCCCAAGCTCTCACTGCATAGCAATTTGGTCATACTGTTTATACTTAAATGTTCAAATTTCGCTTCAAACCCCAAATTTTCACTTTGCAGTAATATGTAAAACTGCGGAAACGGACTTAATGTACATGCTTCTGTTGATATTATTTCTCCACTCTTAAAACAAGGTATTTGTAGCAGCCTTCTGAGATTCTTTTCAGTACCTCAAGAGGTTCTGCCTGACAGCACCTTGTAGGTCTTTACCGGCAGTGTTCCAAAATGTAAGCAGTGTTCTCTCGGTGAGCGGATTTTTACGTTTCGCCGCAATGCTGGCCATCGCCCTTGAACCTGCACAGCTGTCCCTCCCGCCTCCTGCTCCCAGGGCTCCGCGAACTCGGTCTTCCAGCGCGTTCTAACGAAGAGAACCGCTTCGGGAACAAGTGCATCCTTGCTTAGCAATGAAAGGCTATTTAAGGCGACAATAAATTTTGTATGGGAAACGGCCACGTTTTAAAAAAGAAGTAACTATTTTCGCATTCTCATAAACTCTTCCAGATCGGCTTGACAATCATCAGCTTTCGAAATGTGAATTCTTACTGCCAGAGTAAAAGTTGCACTTTACACCACCACGAAGCGCTGTGTTTCTTCCGCCCTCGGTCCGCAGCACGGCCCCCCTCCCGCCCCGCCCCGCCCCGCCGGAGAAGGGGAACGGACACCGGGTGAAGGATCGCAGGGGAGCGGGGCTGGTTTCTCCCGGGAGCCGGCGGCCGAGCCCCGCTCCTCTCCTCCGTGCGTCACCCGCCGGCACAGGACGCTCCGGACCCCGCCCCGCGCTGGCCTCCCTCGCCCCAGTCGTCCGACCTCTCGGTGTCCCCGCGGGCGCAGGCTCCGAGACAGGACGCTCGGGATTGGCGCGGCCGCAGGGGCCCGGCGCGCGTGCGCGGGGGCGTGGCGTGGGGGCGGTGCTTAGGGCGCGGGGGCGGGGCAGGGGACGTGGTGGTGCGCGGCGGGGGGCGGGGGCGCATGCGCCGTGTGGGGCGCCGCGGGCCGGCCGGGACGAGGGCGGGGATGCCATGGCGGCCACGTTCTTCGGCGAGGTGGTAAAGGCCCCGTGCCGGGCTGGGACGGAGGACCAGGAGGAGGAGGAAGAGGGGAGGAGGGAGACGGCCGAGGACAGGGAGGTCCGGCGGCAGCTGGCTCGGAAGAGGTGAGGTCCGGCCGGCGGGGCGGGCTGGCGCCGGCCTGCTGCGGCCTCGGTGGCGAGGGTGCCGCCAGGGCTTCCTTTGCGGGGACTTGGCGGCCCCCCTCTGCCCCCATAACGGGTTCTCGGGCGGGCCTCGTGTGCCTGCTTCCTGGACGTAGGACAGCTCTCTTACAGCCCTTTCATCCCCCGCCGCGCTCTTCCGTTAGCCTCGGTGTCCGTGGCAGGTGGGTAACGCGTCTCTTCAAAAAGAGATTGGAGAAAATAGTAAAATGACCCTCCACCCCTACCCGGTGAATTCAGCAGCTGTGACGATTTCGCCCCGTGTGTTTTATCCCCCACCACCTGTTGTGTCACTTTCACCTCTCCATTTTTCAGAGTGCACCTCAAACGATGCCGGCGGTTTTTGGCATACGTTATTATCACCCTAACAAAATAAACGATTTTTGATACCATTTAGCAGCCAGGCGTGTCCAGACTTACTCAGGAGTCTCAAACATGAGGTTTTACGGTGAGTTTGTGTAAATCAGAATCAAGGTCCACACGTTCCTTTTAGACTTCGGACTCTTGAGCTGCCTGTCATTTAGAGCAGCCCCTTCTTCTCACCCCTGCGGAGACAACACCCCTAGTTGTTCTGTAGGGTGTCCCACACTCTTAAATTGGTCTGATTTAACCTGGTGTCCCTGACCAGCATTCCGTAGGTGGATGTTCCCTTTGGAGGAGTGGTCCGATGCAAGTTCAGTATTTTGCTGGCAGGAAGGTGGTAACCTGCCATTTCTTATTGCCCACTGTACCCGTTTGTGCCCCTTTGGGGGATGCTTAGATTGGGCAGTGGGTCAGGTGGACAGCCTGATCTCCGCTGTGGAGTTCTCCATGAATTTTGCGTCGGATGGTTTTATCGGTTAGTTATTGTTGCCTGAATCTGTTGTTTCCTTTAGATGATAATTACATTCTTTATGAAATTAAAGCGTGCAGGGGCGCCTGGGTGGCTCAGACGGTTGGGCGTCTGCCTTCGGCTCAGGTCATGATCCCGGGTCCTGGGATCGAGTCCCGCATCGGGCTCCCTGCTCCTTGGGAGCCTGCTTCTCCCTCTCCCTCTGCCTCTCTCTCTCTCTCTGTCTCTCATGAATAAATAAATAAAATCTTTAAAAAAAAAAAAAATTAAAGCGTGCATATTGCTTATTACAGAATCATGCCTCTGGTATCCTTTTTCTCCTAATACGGTACTAATTATACTTAAGTTGCTTTAGTTTTGTCTTTTGTTTCTTGTTAGGGAGGTGCGGCTCTTTCGAAGGCAGACAAAAACATCTTTGGAAGTTTCTCTGCTGGAAAAATATCCTTGCTCCAAATTCATAATTGCTATAGGAAATAATGCAGTAGGTGAGTAGAAATGTGTTAGATTGAAAGAACAAAATCTGAGGGAGGTGGGTGGAGGGATAGGGTAACTGGGTGATGGGCATTAAGGAGGGCATGTGATGTAGTGAGCACTGGTGTTATATGCAACGGATGAATCACTGAACTCTACCTCTGAAACTAATAATACACTATATGTTAATTGAATTTAAATAAAAATTTTAAAAAGAAAAAAAACAAAATCCCTTGTTACTTATTTCTTTCCCTCATACTTCAAATGTCTGTTACTTTTTTAGAAAAAGTCATAGCAGAGTAAATTTGTATCTGAGTAAAATCTGTGCCTGCTCATGTGATACCGTCTTTTTGATAAACTTTAAAATTAAGATTTAAAGGAAGCGTGCTTCGGTTCAAGAAGTTGTAAATTCCAGGAACTGGGTTTATAGTGTGTTCAGGTATCTGCATTTCCTCAGACTCCTGGGCCTGTTTGGACCAGACTTGGGGGGAACAGAGGTGGCATGTGTACATGGCCAGTGGTTCTTAAATGTTTTTGAATTAACAGGCTCCTTTGAGAACAGGATGAGACCTCTAAAGATAATAGTGATGGTCGCTAACATTTTTGAGCACTCAAGTTTGAAGGTCTGTACATACATGACTCCCATTTGATAGGTTAACGTGAGAACAGTGCAGAGTTCAGCTAGGACAGCGTACATGAGCAGGTACGCAAACCTGTGTGATTTTAGCTGCTGCACAGGCTCTGGGGGCGAGCATTTGGGATCTCCAGTGAAGCCGATCCCTTGCCCTATCAGGTAGCCCTTGCTTGCAGGACATAGTGAGTACATGGTAAATAACTGTTGAGTCATTTATATAAAGTTTTCCCGGCCTACAATTTTCCCGCAAGTGTTACCTTCTGAGAGTGCAGTAAAGCCCAGCAGTAAACCTGTGTTCTCCGTTCCTGCCTCTGATACCAGTTGTACTTGGGCCATGGCCTTTAACTTCTTGAGGCCTCAGTTTCCTTTTCTGCAGAATGGCAGGATAAGGTCAGTGGTCTTAATGGCTCTTGTAGTTCTCAAATTCTAGAATTACTTGAAATCATTTCTGATTGTAGAAAATGCAGCTTGCAGAACCAGGCACTAACTGATGTGAATTGTTTTTCACAGCGTTTTTGTCGTCATTTGTTATGAATTCAGGAGTCTGGGAAGAAGTTGGCTGTGCTAAACTCTGGAATGAATGGTGTAGAACAACGGACACTACACATCTGTCCCCTGCAGAGGCCTTTTGTGTGTTTTATCATCTGAAATCGAGTCCCTCGGTACGTGGGACTTGGATGCTTCAGAGAGAGCTGTTTAGGCATCATTTATGTGGTGTTCGTTTGAATTTCATGTTCCTTTATATCTACTTTTGTGCTGACGAATTGTGCCTGCAGGCAGTGCTGTTATTTATATAAATATTAGTGTGGCATACACAGCATGTTGATAAAGTTCTAGGAAATTCTGAAATAACTTTGTTAGAAAAAAACCATAGACAGTAGACATTCACACCTTGCTCATTCAAAAAATTATTTCAGCTGGTAACTCTAAATGTGCAAAAATGTGTTCACTCTGTGAAAGCAGGGAGTTCTCCTTTGTGGCAGGATACCCAGGATTTAGCAAATGCTAGTATGTGCTAGAAACTCAGGTAATGTTTGTTGAACAGATGAATGCTTTATGCATTCTGAGCATAATTCTCTTGACATCGAGCTTTTACCCTAACCTGATTTGTTAAGTCCTGAAAGTCATTCTGTAGCTGATGCGGAGTGATTCCTTGTGTCCTCTTCGTTCGAATCCTAATCTTGGGTCCATTCGGAGAACATAGCATAGTGGGCGATTTGAGGGTCAGGCAGATGAGGTGGCCAGGCAGGTGCTGTGTCTCTGCACCTGCTTGTCTGACAGAGTAGCATTCTCTAGCTGCTGAGCTCCTGAACACGGGCCAGCGCAGGGGTTCAAACAATGGCAGAAACCACTGAGTCCCTATTATTATAGTGGGGCTTATTTCAAAAGGTAAGGACCAAATGTTAGCCTTGTAAACCGTAAAGTTTGATTTTTTTAGTACTTCTAGTTTGTTTTTTTTAACATGTAATCCAAAGTTATTTAAATTTGCATAAGGATTTTTATGCACAGCCAGCATTTATAGGAGATAAGAATGAGACTAATCATGTTTTTGATCTGATCTTTAGTTGGAAAGATTGTACTTTAGAATAGATGGTGAAGGTCCAGTAGGAGCAATTTCTGTCACCTCTTCTAGTCGTACCACTTATTAGTTAGATATCTCTTGATGATGCACAACCTACGTGTGTAGTTAATTACATGTCCTGTCTTTTTCTTATTCTCCATCCCCATGTACCTTTTTCCTCTTCTGTGCCTCCTTTGGGTAATTAAGTGTTAGCATTTCTGGCAATGTTTTAATAGACGACATTGTTGAGTTCTGTGGATAAGATCACTCCATGAGCATTAATAAGCAGGAATCCAACCTTTTATGGCATCGTGGCATTACAGATTATTTCACTTTGAGCATATGGGTTGGAACTTGGTTTCTAAAATAATACCGTCTTCAGAGGCATCAGTACCGTTTCACAATGCCATTTGGGCTGAGATGCTGTCCGGCTGACATTCACTCTGCTAGCACCTAGAGTTTGTATAATGCTTATATATACATATATATTTTTTTAAAGATTTATTTATTTGACAGAGACACAGCGAGAGAGGGAACACAAGCAGGGGGAGTGGGAGAGGGAGAAGCAGGCTTCCCACTGAGCAGGGAGCCCGATGTGGGGCTCGATCCCAGGACCCTGGAATCATGACCTGAGCCGAAGGCAGACGCTTAACGACTGAGCCACCCAGGCGCCCCTAATGCTTATGTTTTATAGTGTTTACATTTATTTTGTGTTTGATCTTCCCGGTATGTGACCCCCAGGAGGGCAGCAGGGCTGGTGTCATTCCTGTGTCATAAAGAAGATTCTGGTAGCATTTACTGGTAGTATATTCAGTGTCTCCTATGCAAACTGTTGTGGTCACTCCATTAACATGTACTTTATTCTTCTGTTAACTGCCAGTAGTGGTTTGATTCTTAAGTTTTAAAGATAAATAAATAAGCCAATAGCAAATTCAGAAAACAAGTGTTACCTAAAGGTTATATTAGGATTCAAATGATGCGTATATGGTGGTAGTTCAGAGTGTGTGTAAAATTCCTTTGACCTGACCAAAAACTTGGAATGGGATTTTCCAGGTCCTCCTCTGTCAGTGCAGTTGCTATGTTGCTGAAGATCAGCAGTATCAGTGGCTGGAAAAGGTAAGAGAGAAATGAAGACTGGTGAGCTCCTTTTTTTAAGGGTTCCGTGTCTTAACACTTGAGCCTACACAGCCAAATACCGAAGCAGGGAAGTATTTGTTTTTTTCTTTTTTCTTTTTAAATTATTTATTTACTTATTTATTTGAGAGAGAGAGCACAGAGGGAGAGTGAGAGGGAGAAGCAGACTTCCCGCTGAGCGGAGAGCCCAACGCAGGGCTCAGTCCCAGGATCCTGAGATCATGACCCGAGCCGAAGGCAGATACTTAACCGACTGAGCCACCCAGGCGCCCCTGTTTTTTTCTTAAAAATATCCTAGGAATTTGTTACAGAATATAAAGAATAAAATAACTCATTTAACAAATGTGCTGAAGATTATAGGTCATAGAAGCATAAAACCGTTGGATTCTTCCCAGCCGCCATATTGTTAACGTTTGAACGAAAAACAAGCTACTCGCATGAAACAGAACAGGGTCATGGCCATGGGTGCAAAATGGCGGTGCTGACCATGCAGGCTGGTGATGGCTCAGGGTTGTGAGGCAGGAAACGTGTGAGCTGCATTCAGGGGGTTGGCACTTGGCTGCTACTTGCTCCAAATTACAAAATATTATGTCCATTTGTCTTAGAATTAGGATGGCTTAATTGAGGCTTCATTTTGTGGGAAAATTGTGCATGTTTTGTGCCCAATAAAACATATTTTTCAGTGAAGAATTTAGGAATTTTAGAGAATAATCATAATTTTGGCAGTTGCATATTATTATTATTTTTTTAAGATTTTTTTTATTTATTCATTTGGGAAAGAGACAGCACGAGCAGGAGGGGAGGCAGAGGGAGAAGCAGACTCCCCAATGAGCTGGGAGTCTGATGTGGGGCTCGATTCCAGGACCCGGGGGTCACAGCCTGAGCTGAAGTCAGGCATGTGAGCCACCCAGGCGCCCCAGTTGCATATTATTTTTAAATGAAGTAGGTCTCAAATATATATCTTAGCAACATTTGAGCTTAAATCTTTGGTATATTTTTGTTTAGGTATTAAAATTAATTAGAAATAAGAAATTTGGTGTACACCTGTTTTAAACTAGGTTGGCATACTTGGAAACATTTATTAAAAGTTATTAAATACATCTTATTAAATGAGTTATTCAAGAAGGTCTGTGGACCTTCTCACAATCATATACGTGATTTTGTGTTATGTACTGATGTGTATTTTTCTAGGGAGAGTCCTTAGCTTTCCTCAGGTCTCAAAGGGTAGGAAACTGTTGTGTTAATTTTTGTTTGTGTTTAAAGATTTTATTTAGGGGCACCTGGGTGGCTTAGTCGGCTAAGCATCTGCCTTTGGCTCATGTCATGATCCAGGGTCCTGGGATTGAGCCCTGTGTCCCCGGGGAACAGCCCTCTCTCTTTAAAAAAATAAATAAAGATTTTATTTATTTATTTGAGAGAGAGAGAGCGCACAAGCAGGGGGAGCAGCAGAGGGAGAGGGAGAAGTAGACTCCCCGCTGAGCAGGGAGCCCGATGCAGGGCCCTATCCCAGGACCCTGGGATCATGACCTGAGCCGAAGGAAGATGCTTAACCAACTGAGCCACCCAGGTGCCCTAATTTGTGTTTTTAATTTAAGTAGGATGATTGTTATGTCAAAAATATTTTATTATTTTTGTACTATGGGACTTTTCTTTTCCAGAACTTAAAAACTTTAATCAGTATTTTTTTTTCCTTAGGGACACTCTGCGTCCCCCTACTGTTTGGTTCATGTCAGCCACAAAATCCTGATAAACACACAGTCTAACAGAGTGGTCAAGTGTGAATTCAGACTGTGGGTGTTCTAGGGAGGTTGATAAATTAGGCTTTGTGTGTAATGTTGTATTTCTTGAACTATTTAGTGTTTATTTACAAAGCTGTGAGATGATGAAATTAGTCTTAGAAATCATTAATGATGTGTAAAATCTGTAGTTCTGTTGTTCTTATTAGAAATAGCCATTTTCTTCTTTCGTAAAACACTTCCCAACAAGGTGGAGTGGCCTAAAGTTTACTTTTTTTCCTAAAAAAAAAAAAAATAGCTGCTTGTTTTGTTTACATCACCATAGGTTTTAAAAGCTGGAAAGGGTCCTTGGAACTTCATGAAATACGCACTTAGGAGAGAATAAAGGTCTAGAGTGATTAAAACTTGCTTATAAGCAAAATAACTTAAAAAATGCATTGAAGAAATACTGCAGTGATACAACACTATCATGAATGCACCTTGCAGCTTAGAAACATCTTTATTAAAGTGTTCTTGGACACATCAACACATGGATTAGAGAAGGGGGATCACTTCCTTTTGCTGATATTCTGCTAGTCTGAATGTAGCTTGCAAGTAAAGTGGTGTTCTTAGAAATGTCTGTATTAGAAGAGATCTCATAGTCCAGCAGCTGCTTTGCCCTGGAAGCCAGTCCTGGTGTTAGCACAGCTGCTCTGGCTGTGTTTCTTCCTGACTTCATTGACTGCACACTGCAGCCCCCTTAGGTGGGTAGTACTGTCCCCTGTTCACAGCTGAGGAAAGTGACTTAGAAAAGGTCAGCAAACTAGGAAGTGACAGACCCAAGATCAAACCTAGGTGAGGGGATGGCAGATGTGTTCTCTTTTCCACCACCTCTCCAGGGGGGGGGATATTACTGTGAAGGGTGTTAGATAAACAGCTAGAGAAATGTTTCTGTTCTGTAACAAAACTGTGTGTGTGTTTTAATTTGAGGTCATTTTTGCCTTAGGTCTTTGGCTCTTGTGCAAGGAAGAATATGCAAGTAACTCTTCTCACATGTCGACATGTTACTGACTATAAAACTTCAGAATCTATTAGCAGCCTTCATTCTCCTTTTCTGAAAGCCCTAAAAACACAGAATTTCAAAGAGCCTCCATGCTGTTCACTGCTGGAACAACCAAATATCGTACATGATCTTCCTGCAGCAGGTGGTATTAAAATTTGTAACATTTACAGTATATCTTGTTAGTGCTTTATTGGTTATTGGTTATTACTTTGACTATTAGAGGTCTTTTTAAAGTAGTTCGTTAATAATTGATACCAATGTATTGCTGTTAAACTTTAATATTTGTTGTTGCTAGTATGTTGTGTTTGAGTTCTAATGTCCACACACACAGTTACGATGTGAGAGCAGCTCAGAGTTCGTAACTGTTAGGTTGCAGAGTTGCTCTGGTTCTTTTTGGTCTGTGATAACATCATGCAAGCCGATGTTAGATGTAAATTGTTGGTGCATGAAAGTTGATAAAGTATGTTTTAATTGTCAAGATAGAAGTTTCCAGATACTGAATCTGGAGTTTCTTTAATATTTTATTTTTATTACTGTTACTAATTATACCCTAGCATCACATCAAGATGAGATTGTCCCTTACTTTTCGGTAGCTAATATAATTGTTATTTGTTAATAAGTAAGTTTTTCCCCCTTAAATGTGAAGTTTACTGGAATAAGTGGCTAATTTATTGTATTATATTCAGCGAAATTTTAATCTTGTAGTTACTTATGATGTGTCTCAGTATATTCAGGAAATGCAAAATAAGCAGTATTTGCAAAAGCAAGAAATTAGCGAAAATAAATTGGCTTTGAAAGAAAGTATGCATCATAAGTGGTTTGATATGGCAGTAAACACTTTAAGGAAAGCAATAGAGACAACTACTTTTAAAAGTAGCCTTTGTTATTTAGCGGTATTTAGTTTAAAAATTATACAGTAGAAGACTTAAGTGTTTTTTTTCCTTGTATTATTCATAGTTCTGAGTTACTGTCAAGTGTGGAAGATTCCTGCAGTTCTGTACTTGTGTTATACTGATGTGATGAAGTTAGACCTAATCACAGTTGAAGCTTTTAAGCCTATCCTTTCTTCCAGAAGCTTGAAAGGTTTGGTTAAGGTAAGGTTTTAGCTCATTGACTTAACACCTGAGTTATAACAAACTTAATAACAAATGGTAAATTTATGGTACTGATTTAAAACTTAAGGAACGCTTAGAGATCCTTTTTTTCTCAAAGTAAAGCTTTCTAATCTGGCACCGGGAATTGGATTGTCACCCTCTCTTTTAGACGTACTTCTGTAACTGGAGAAATGTTTTGTTCATGCTTTTTCATGGTAGATCAGTGCAGCGCATTGATAGAAATTCCAGATGGCTGTGTAGGAAGGTGGTTGGACTGTTCAGGAAGTTTCTGTAACTAATTCATTTGGAAGGTTGTAATATTTAAGAAGGCATTTTTGAGCACAGCATGGATCAGATTTTCAACGTTTGTTCACTTAATTTTGCATGGGACTGGCTATGTGAAGGCGAGATAAACCTGTTTCCTGCTCTCCGTGTGTGTGTGTCCCTGGGCTCTTTCACCAGAAAAGGTCATACTGGAACGTGTACACAAAAAGTTCTGCCTGTGACTTCAGGTGGTTTAGGAGCTCCTGCCTTTTCCCTAAGAGATTTGCTGAAAGGGCATGCGCCCTGGGTAAGACCTTCTCTCGTACAGGGAAGGGACGACAACAGCGACCCACAGTGGGAGTCCTGTTTGATTCTAGAGCGACCGTTGGTGTTAAGACACCTTTTCTGGCAAGGTCTGTTGGCGTTAGCTCATTGCACTTGTCTCATAAGTCAGTTGGCTTGCTAGGTGGTCAGCTCCGTGGGAATGGGGACCCGTTTGGGTATCTATCCCCAGGTCCTCAGGTACCTGGCGCCCGGAGAATGCATTCCCAGCCGTTCGGGGAGTTCGTGTAATTCAGGCATGATTTCACGGTAGCCGGAGTCCCGGACACGCTTTCTGGCGGGCCGCGTGGCTCTCGGAGGGCCTTCTGCGCGTGGGGTTCGCCTCTGGGGCTCACGGCTGTTCTGTTCCGGGTGGCCCGGCGCGCCGCGCGTCCCGGCGACTGGAAGTCGTCGTGTGGAGTCGCAGTCCACCTGCGGCTTTTAGGAGTGTTCTCTGAAGGGGAAATGGAGACACTCTGCTAAGCTCTTCGCTTCGTGCTGTAAGCGCAACGATGGCGGAGGGTGCAGCGGCCGTTGGAGGAGCGCGCTCGTCTCGCAGACGGGAGCAGACATGGCCGCCCTGAGTCCGCTCGCAGTCTGTTGGGGGGGCGGGGGGCGTGCGGCCACCGGCGTGGACTTGTCTGGCGCCGCGTGAGCGCCGCGGCCTGGCGGCGGACGGGCCGCTGTCGCGCCAGCTGGGCGGAGGCGAGCACCCGCCGCGGGTGGGCGAGCGCCGCCTGAGGAGAGGCTGGCGCCTGGGCCCGAGGTGAGGGGGCGGCAGGGGGCGCGGACGAGGCCGGCGAGTTGGGCGCGGAGGCGCGCGAGCTCCCGTGGGGGAGAGGCCGGCCTGCAGGGTCCCCTCCGCCGGAGGCCGCCGAAGGGCCGTGGAGGCCGTGAGGCGTCCCCGGAGGGTTCTGGGCCAGGGGAGGGCAGGCCGCGATGTTCCACCTGCTGGAACCCTGGGGCTCCTGAAGCGCCGAGGTGCTCGGGGCGCTGCCTCCCGAGGGAGGTTCGGGGCGGGGCCTGTTCGCTCCGCGCGCCCTTCTTGTGCGGCCTGAGTGCAGGGCTTGCGGTGGGTGCGTGGCTCCCGGGTTCTCCGTCCCACTGAACCGGCGACTTTCTTCTCGTCTTCCAGAATATTCCCCAGAGCACAGAGATACTGAAGAAACTGATGACGACAAATGAGATTCAGAGCAACATCTATACGTGATCCCAAAGATCGTTTTGTGAAGTGTTACTACCCATCCATTCCTTCGAGGGGAGCAGTGTGTATGGTTTTGTTGTTGTTGTTTCCAAGGGGGTATTTTACGGGTATACAAACAGAATAAACTTATTTTAAATTCATTATCGTTTTGGTTCCTTTTTTATGGTGCTACTCTTGACAGCTGAGATAAGCCACATGTTTTTCTTCATCCACTAGGTGGGAGTGTTGTTTTATTTGAGTATTTTATATAGTTAAAATTTTAAAAACCTACAGATAATGGGTTTTAGTAACATGTAAGCAGAGTTACTTTAGTGCAACAGTTCTGTGTGACACCTGAAAGTTATTTGTTGGCGATTATTATTTTATTAGAGGGAGAGCTGCGAGCTGGGGGAGGTGGGGAGGGGAGGAGGGAGGGGGAGAAGCAGGCTCCCCACCAAGCAGGGAGCAGGGATCCCGACCCCAGGGCTCGATCCCAGGCCCCTGGATCATGACCTGAGCTGAAAGCAGACACTTAACCGACTGAGCCACCCAGGTGTCCCTGTTGGTGATTCTTAATATGTGAAAAGTTTGTTTTATGGGTTCTTCAGGTTTTTTGGGTGGGTAAAAATTGATCAGGTAACAAAGTTATAGACTTGCTCAAAATGAAATGAAAAGAAATGTGTATTTCATCACTTTTCAGTAATATCTGCCAGGCAGGCTCTTCGTGCAGACGTCTCCGGGCCCTGGTGCAGGGTTAACTGTACTGGAGGTGTGAGCTCGGCTGCGGCAGGCCTGTTGTTGCTAGAATGTGACATGAGTCATGAGCTTGAAGTAGCCACCCTGCTACAGAAGACCACACACTGCACTCGGTCAGTGAAAATGCATTTTACAGTGGTAAAGTTGAGGAATGCTGCTTTCTCTCTTTATAAGTTACAGAATCATTTGTGTATTACAGATTTATTATTACTATTATTTTATTTAAATTCTAGTTAGTTGGCATGCAGTTCACTATTGGTCTCAGGAGTAGAGGTCAGTGGTTCATCATTTACATAACAACTCTAGGGCTCACCACAAGTGCCTGCCTTAACGCCCATCCCCCATCTAGCCCATCCCCCATCCACCTATATATTACAGATGGAGACAACGTACTCGTATCTTTTAGATTCAGTTTGCTTACATTTGCTTACTGTTCTTGACAGTGTTCGTAGGTGGGGTGAGGACACTCTGCACTCCCCTTCTTGAGCGTCGGAAGTCCGGGGCAGGGCGCGTCTGAACACACTTTGATGATAGAAAATGAAGCATTCTTGTTGCAGAAAGGTCTGCATCCATTCAGAAATGTGTTTGCAGAGCCCTGTGGTGACTTTGGGGTCCAGTCTGGAGCTAGAGCCTTCTATCACCATGAGGGTTAGTTGGTCACAGAGGAAGAGTAACCTTGGAAAAGAGCAACTCTCAGGCTGACCCTTACAGGCCGGGTGGCCCCCGGAGTCCCAGTTTCCTCATCTCTAAACTGCAGGTAGGTAAAGGAAAATTATTGAATTAACGTAAGTGTGCAGTAAATGTTTCTTCCCTCAGGTTCCATTTTTCATCTGTTTAGTGAGGAAGAATTGACCTGTTTATGTGGTTGGGTGGTTGTAAGTATGAAAATAGAAAAATGCTTTCGATGAACAGGAGAGGGTACTTCCACGTACACACCCCCGTGTACACCCACCCAGAGACCCCGACTTCACGGTGCAGCCAGGAAGGCGTGACCGGCAGACGCTGCTCTCCGTTCCTTCTCCATGCCACGTTCGAGAACCACGATTCTTGGCAATATCAAGGCCAGGAGTGGAGTTGCTGGGGGAGATGCTTCGTGGTTGGGTTTATCGGTGCAGCGGGTTGGTTGAGTGTGTTTTATGTTCCTCAGTTTGCACTGAGATTCATTTCCAGTTGACATCAGTAATTATTTAGCGGCATAGAATCTACAATTATATTCATGCAGATAAGTCACCAATTTGAATGGCGGTGGTTTCTGGAGAAAAGTAATCAGAATGAACACAAGTGGGTACCTACAATGCTGACGTCTCTCTTTAATGCCGATGGACGCTCATTTGTGAACTGTATGCAAGTCTGGAGATCTTGGTTTGGGCTGGAGAGAGGCGCGGAGAGGACGGTGGGGGGGTGTGTGCAGGGGGGATGGAGAGAGAGGGTCTGCACTGAGGCTGCCTGGAGTCCTTCTCGTTTGGGGACGGGGGGAGGAAGCAGCCTGCAAGGTGCCCCTGGGGCTCTCCAGAAGAGTGCAGGGGAGGCCTGGGCAGGAGCCCGCCCTACCTGCCCCTGCTGTGTGGCTCCTTAATTACCGACTTTGGACTAGCTCAGAGCTGGGTATCCAATCTGGGCTCCACCCCTCACGTTAAACACGGCCACCCCTGACGTTTTTGAAGGTGAGGTAGCCGCGGCCTCTTTCTGGTGGCCTGCTTAACTCTGAAGCTGCTGGAATAAACTCCATCATGGCCACACCTGGAGCCTTGGCCTCCCTGTTCTGTGCAAATCCTGCTTTGTCTAGTGAAAATCCCAGGCAATGGCACTCTCCGTTAGTGTTTGGGGAAAGGAAAGGAGGGGATGGAGGTCGAATCGTTGTGACTGTTAGCGCATCTGGCCAAGGTGAGCCCGAGCTGCCCGCAAGTGTACCTGTGCTGCCTGGTTTCACTACAATGGATCTGCGGGAGGCCGTGCGAGGGGAGGGTTTCCACGGAAGCCGGGCCAGCGTACTTACTCCGTGAATGCCAGTTTCGCTTATTCAGGAAAAGGACCGGACATGTGAACTAGCCCTCGCTCTCCCTTCTCCAGCCTCGTTGCCATTTGGAGATGCTGTTCGTCCCCTTCAGCCCGGACTGCATCCTGGAAAGGAGCTACTGCGATTGACTGCAGAGCAGAGGACTATGCCATACTTGATGTTGCCTAGACGGCTTTATGGTTGTCATCTGACACCGTCCTTGAAACAGGCCGAGGAAGAGCCTGTTCTACAAACAAGGGCGCTAAGGAGCTTGAGTCCCACAGGGTCAGACCCCGGTGAGGGGTGGATTTCAGCCCAGCTCTGCTGCACCGGCTCAGCGTTCCCTGCAAAACTACCCACCCGAGGCTGGGGAATGCAAGGTTCCAGGGCCTCACAGCTGGAACCATCCAGAAGACCGGAAAGCCCACGACCAAAGATGGCTCAGCCTGCCAGGGACAGGACTGATCCGAAAGAACCAAGTTCCCCGCCTCAGCAGCTCCACATCTCAAGTCCCAGCAGGTGGCCCTGGGCACGGAGCAGACTGACATCGGGCGGAGCTGCTGAGCTGGGGTCTGTTCCATGTCAGGCTTCTGGGGGCAGTGTGCACTCGGCACCACACCCGGCTCTCCTCGTCCGAGTTCGAGTCTCTGTCTGGAACCTGTTTCTTGCTGTGCCCGTTGGAGAGCTGTGGGCAGGAGGCTAGGAGAGCAGGGCCCAAGTTCCTGAGGGAAGTCATGCTGGCAAGGAAATCGCAGGCTGTGTGGGCCACTGCACAGAAAGCTGCCGGGCAGAGGATCTCAGTGGGCGCTTAGTTGAGGGGAACATACCAGAAATCCGAGAACTGGCGGCAGAATTGTGCTCTAGACGCAAAATGGTATTTGGAAGTGTCTTCTGGGAATGTGAACTCCTCTGGCTGAGCCCGGTGAGGCCCGGCCAGGAGCTGCTGAAGTGCCAGGGCGGCCGTCCCAGGGCATGGAGTCAGAATCCAGACGGCATGACCCGCTAGGCCTGGCCCACAGGCCCGACAGCAGGCCCAGCCAAGACACACCTGGTCCCCGCCGCCTTCTGGGCTTGTCCCAAGAGAGGCGAGGGTTCTCTCTCCAGTCCCAGAAGGCCTCCAACTTCGAGAGATCCAGGGCCCGGGCAGAGGCCCCAGAATGAACGGACACCCTGGCCTGCCCCGTCCATGAGCTGCAGGCCTGTGGCGGGGTTCATGGGCACCCCCGAGGCCTTGCGGCTGGACTCTGAGACCCACATGGATCTGCGTTACTCTGAACCCTGGGGTCTCCACTGGGTCAAATGTGGGCCTTTGATGTTTATAACGAAACAACCTGTGTTTTGGGTTGCCATGTGGCTGCCAGACCATGAGCCTTGCTGGCGATGACTCAGAAATTCCACCTCATGTTCTCAAAAGGCTGGAGTGCTGGATTCAAACCACATATTAATAACTTGGCCGTCTGCTCAATCTCGTAATATTAAACGTGAGATTGTTCGTGTATTCGTGTCTACACATTGTGAAACCATTATTAAACATGACCCATACCAAAATAGCTCAGAGTGTATTTATTTCAAAGGAAACAGAATGATTTACGTTGAATCCTCATCGCTGCAGTGAACTTTAAAGGTATCTTGAGGAAGGGATAAAAGGCCACGCAGTTATTACTGCAAGTTCACAGAAATCTTTGGACTTTTAAGATACGAGGTCCTTTTTATTTAAACATTTTTAGATGTTATAACCACAAAAGCGTTTCTGCTTTTGACTCATGATCTGCTTAGGTTTTTGATTAAATCTTCATTCTGTTTCTCTCCCTAGGATGTTCTATTTCCATCGACAAACATGCTTGCTTCCCCCGTGTTCTAGAATCTTCTTTTGGTCCTGCTGAACAAGGAGCTGAAGCCATCTTCCCATCTCTTGTCGTCTGGGCTCTGGGGCTCCTAGAACACCCATCTCTGTGGGGGCACGACGCAGCGTCCCAGTGCACCAGGTCCCGCTACTCCTGGGTGCCTCCATCAGGTCCGCAGTTCCGCAGAAGCCTGTTTTAGCACCAGCCTTGGCGCCCCCGTGTCCCCCCTTGCCCTCCCTCTCATCCTGCAGCCAAAGGACACTCGCCACGGGAACTGGGAGCCCCGCCGTTCCTGTTGTCTGTCAGATAAACTCCGAATATCTGATGCCCATTCAGGCTCCTACTTGGTCCAGATTAATTGATCTTTCCCAATCGTACCTCCCCGCTTTTTCTTTAAAAACTCGGCTACGTGCTGCCTTTTTCAAAAGCTGCTCCTACCTGCTCAGCCGGTCGCCGTCTGTTCTGCCTCTGGATCTCCACAGAGCCAGACAGCACGTGCGCCTGTCCCCCCAGCACCTGAACCATCTGTGTGGATGGGCTTTAAGCGTGGGGGCGGTGCTCTGTCAGGATTTGGGGGGAACTCCCTGGGCAGGGGTGAAGATGAGAGGGTCAAGAGTCAGCCCTGGAGGACGTTGCCTTGAATGCGTACCTTGCACAGGTAAGAATCCTCGGCAGGTAAGAGTTAGGGCCCCGAAGCCAGACGCCGGCCTCTTAGCAGAAACAGGACAAAGGTGAGGGCATTCCCACAATTGGGAAGTGGGATTTTAGCCACAGCGATGCAGGATTATTGTGAATTTCTCAGTGAGTAGAAATTAGAGCAAGATACCGGAACACGCGCCATTGAAGAAGAGAAAGGTTATTATCTATATGTCTATATATCTATATATGACTAGTGAGTACACTCCATGCCCAAAGCTGAGAGTGGCCATACAAGTCTTTATCTATCTATCTATCTATCTATCTATCTATCTATCTATCTATCTATCTATCATCTATCTGCCTATCTAAAAGATTTTATTTATTTGTCAGAGAGAGTAAGAGAGCACAAAGCAGGGGGAGTGGGAGAGGAAGAAGCAGGCTCCCCCCTGAGCAGGGATCCCAGGACCCTGGGATCATGACCAGAGCTGAAGGCAGACGCTTAACCAACTGAGCCACCCAGGTGTCCCAAGTCTTTACTTTTCTGTAGTAGGTCTCCCATTTCTCTTTTGGGCCTACATTCCACCAGCGACAGGAACTAGATCTTCCTCAGTTCAGAGAGAGCTCTTTCCCTGGGATGTGTCTCCACGTTGGGCACCGACCCGGGTCTCAGGGAAGGCGTTGCACCAAGAGGACCTGTCCCAGCTTCTCCCGCTGGTGTCTGTGGACACAGGCTTCTTCTTGACCCCTGTTCTCTGTTCTCTTAGGGCCACCTCAGCCCCAGGGGGTACAGTAGAATGCTCCGGGGACGATGAGGGCTGTTTAAAGGCAGCTTTCCAACACTGCAGAGGGGCATCTCTTCTGCCCTGATGTTGGAGGGGTCCACTGTTTCTTTTGTAGTTTGTGTCTGGTAAAATTCTGGGGTTGGGCATTTTGCTGGGCCCTTCCTAGGGAAGGTTCCCATTGCCCTGTGATGCAGGCGATCTGTCATGCTGGCCTCTGCCCGGCCCTGGCTTGGGAAGTCGGGACACACGCAGGGACCCCCAACAACATCTACACTCCTTGTCCCCATCCTCCTCATCCACCTCCCTGCAGTCTCATCTCTGGGGACAGGAAGAACCAGCTCAGATGGATCTTGTATCTCCATCTTTCCATTTAGGCCAAGACCTCACATTCTGGGACTCAAAATGGGCAGAGTTTGACTCCTGTTCTCTGAGCTCTGCACGGTCATCCATTCTGTGTGGTGTGAAGCAGAGGATACTGGAGGGGGGCACGGGGCGCGGGGACTATGAGGAACACAAACCAGAGTCAACGCTGCAAAAAACCAGACACAAAGACAATGGAAGAATATTTGCTCAAGTTTTAGTCATGATAGTTTTTAGGTGGTGGGGTTTTGGTGGTTTTCTGGTTTTTACTTAAAAAAAATTTTTTTGGGGGGGTGCCTGGGTGGCTCGGTTGGGTGTCTGCCTTCGGCTCAGGGCATGGTCCCAGGGTCCTGGGATTGAGCTCTGCGTCAGGCTCCCTGCTTGGCGGGGACCCTGCTTCTCCCTCTCCCATTCCCCCTGCTGTGCTCTCTCTCTCTCTGTCAAATGAATAAATAAAATCTTAAAAAAAATTTTTTTTTCAACGCTGAACATGAATTACTTTTATAACCCAGGGGAAAAATAACCCCCAGACCAGTGAATTTTATTTATTTTTATTTTTTATTTTTAATTTTTTAAAAAAATGTTTTATTTATTCATGAGAGAGAGAGAGAGAGAGGCGGAGGCAGAGGGAGAAGCAGGCTCCCCGCCTAGCAGGGAGCCCGATGTGGGACTCGATCCCAGGACCCTAGGATCATGACCTGAGCTGAAGGCAGACGCTCAACCATCTGAGCCACCCAGGCGCCCCTACCAGTGAATTCTAAAAAAGATCCGCACTCTTTTCCTTTTCAATATGTTGGGTTTGGATCTCATTTCAGAGTGTGCCTCCAGGAATGCCCACCAAATCTTTTGTTTAATCTTCACAAAGACCCGTGTTAAAAAATGAATTCTTAGCCTGATTATTCATCTCCCTCTGTTCGGCATGTACTTATTTCCAAGTAGTCGGGGTGGAGTGATGGGCAGGGTAGACACCGTGTCTGTTGTTGCGGAGCTTGTGGTCGGCGAGCCCACCTGATGGCTGGACGGTGCCTGGATCCAACCCCCACAGTCCCAGAGGGGGGAACCTGACAACAGCTCCGTGTACAGCCCCTTATGAGGCTGTTCATGTTACAGTGGCAGAAAGGTACAGCCTGTCCTCGTTATTTGTGGATTCCACATTCACAAAATTCTGTCCACTAAAATTTGTCAGCCTCAAATCAATACTCCCAATACTTTCTTGGTCATTCGTGTGGACACGTGCAGAGTAGCAAAATGAGTCAGTAGACATGCGTTTCCAGCTGAGGTTGAACAAAGTGACACCCTGCCTTCTTGTCTCTGCTTCCTGCAGAGCCGATGGGAGGATGGAGACGGGAGACCGGCAGGCTCCGGCTCTTGGGCTGTTGGACAGTGTTGAAGCCCAACTCTGGCATGTGTTAGTGGTATGGCCTCAGACAAGTCACTTAGCACTTCTGAATCTTGTTTGTCTCCCCTAAAGTAAAGAAAATAGTATCTACTTGGATGAGTTGTTTCTGGAATTCAAGACTCTAATCTCTGTATGTTCGTATCTTCCCTAGGAACAGTGGCTCAGTACTTGCTGAATCCATGTTCGTGGAGATGGTATCACTACGACCCATCCTGAGAATCAACTGCATTTGGCTTAGAGGTCTCCAGCCAAACAGGGTCGTCTTGGCTAGACATCTCTCAAGGTGACTGTTCTGCCCCTTGAGGACTGGGGCAGATTGTGTGGGGCAGGAGGAGGAGAGGTGTTGAGTACTTTGTTGGCTCCGGCTGCTATAGCAAAAACAACAGAAATTTATTCTTACGGTTCTGGGGCCTGGGAAGTCCACGATCAAGATGCCAGCTGATTCAGTTTCTGGTGAGGACTCTTCCTGGCTCGTGGATGGCCATTTTCTCCCTGTATCCTCATGTGGTAGAGAGAGAAGGGAAGCAAGCTCCCTCATGTCTCTTCTTATACAGGACACCAGTCTCATCATGAGGGCTCCACCTTCGTGACCTTATAGCCTCTCAAAGACCCCATCTCCAAACACCATCACATTGGCGGGTAGGGTTTTAAGGTATGAACTTGGGAGGGGGCGTGGATGGGAAGAACAATATTCAGTCTACAGCAAAAACAGAGCAATTGCTCTGTGGGACAGGTCTGAGGAAGGAATTATAGAGAAATCTGGGTAGTCAGGGAGAGATAATTCTGTGCTCTGCACTGGGGGAGGAATGGGAAGGAGATGCAGAGGGAGGTGGGAGGCTGCCGAGGATGCCTGTTTCCATGGTGTGGAGAGCAGTCCTCGGGCTACCATTGCCAGCAACACCTTGTAGGAGGGTAAATCTAATGATATTTATAACTTCTTCCCTGCATTAAAAATTGACTTAATTTTTTTAGATATGATTTTTGATTTTCTATTACCATTTTCCCTCCTGACTTATGGATGATTTGGAGCTTAAAAGCACAGTTCTTGGGATGTGGCCCCAGTATTTTCGTCACAGCTGACAACCACTATCTTAGTATTTTAATCCCTTCATTACCAATGAGAGAGATATTTTCCTGTCTTCAATCTTAGCTGAGTGGGTTATTTAATAGAATTGCTTTGTGTGTGTGTGTGCATGTGTGTGCATGTGTGTGTGTGTGTGTGTGTCTCCCTTCCTCCTTTCCCTACCAGGCTGGCCTGGGGTCCACTGCAAAATCCCCAGGCTGATCTGAAGCTATGCTGGCCACCACTGAGGAGACCCAAATCCTTGTCCCTTGTCTGATATTATGGGCTGAATATGTCTGCCGCCTGCCTCCAAATTCATTCCTTGAAGATGCCAATGTGCTTGTGTTTGGAGACTGGGCTTTTTTAAGGACAGTTAAGGTTAAACGAGTGGTTAAGAGTGGAGCCCTAATCCACTAAGATTGGTGTCCGTATAAGAAGAAGAGGAGACAACAGAACTCTCTTTTTCCATACAGGGGCACAGAGAAAAGGCCATGTGTGGATGCAGGGAGAATGTGGCCTTCTATCAGCCAAGGAGGGAGGTCTCACCAGAAACTCACCCTACCAACACCTTGATCTTGGCCTTCTAGCCTCCAGAACGCCGAGGAAATAAATCTCTGTTGTTTAAGCCCCACAGTCTGGGGTATTTTATGAATGGCAGCCCAGGCTGACTGATAGAACTGGCAACGAACAATGGAATCAGGGCCACTCTACTCTTGTGCCCTGGAGCAGCCTTGTGGGCTGTCTCCTCAGCCTCCTCTTAGCCCTTACCTCTTTCTTTCAGGACCCAGAGATACCAACTTGAGGAGAATTTGCCCAGGAAAACTGCTACTACACTGGGTAGAATGGCGAGTTTGGGCCTTCTTGCCCATCTCACCCAGCTTGGGTGGTGACCATCTGCAACTTTACCAGCTATACACAACAGATTTGATTCAGGGAGCTGACAGAGCAACTAGAAATTTAAGGGTGAGGTTTTGGAAGTGAGAGAGCCAAAGAAAAACATGCATGATAAATTCTCCATACGTTCATTCTAGGTTAATGGCTAAACTTCGTAGGCACACGGGAACCACAGGAGGCCCAGCAAAAATGGAAAGCATGGGAGACTGGTAAATTTACTGTGCTTTTGAAAATATCCCTCTATCTACACACAGCTTAGGCAGTGGAGGTGGATACATTGGCTTGAAGTATCTTAGCATAACCTCTGCCTAAATCATTGCCTGGCTACAAAACTATGCAGGTGAAGGGAAAACCTAAGAGCCAGACTTAAAAACATAAAAATAATAAGCAGAGATATCAATGGCTATCCATTGAAAGTGAGATAGATTTGCAGGTTGAGTCAGGCAAGTTAATTGTCTATTAAAACCAACAACTCTCAGAACAAAGCAAAGTCCAGAATTGCTACAAAATATTGCCTACAACGTCTATTTTTATTTTTATTTTTAAAGATTTTATTTATTTGTCAGAGTGAGAGAGCACAAGCAGGGGGAGCGGCAGGCACAGGGAGGAAACAGGCTCCCTGCTGAGCAAGGAGCCCGACGCAGGACTCCATCCCAGGACCCTGGGATCACCACTGAGCCGAAGGCAGACGCTTAACCAACTGAGCCACCCAGGGACCCCAATGTCTGCTTTTAAATGAAAATTGGCAGACATGCAAACAAAAGAAAATATTTCCCAAACTCAGGGAGGGGAGGTGGAGGGAAACCAGTCAAAGCAACTGGCTCTGAAGGGCTCAGACATTCTATCTGGCAAATAAAGACTTCAAAGCAGCTATTAAAAATACGTCCAAAGAATTAAAGGAAAATATACTGACAATGAATAAACAAGGAATCTCAACAGAAATGGAAAAAAGCAAATAAAATTCTAGAGCTTAAAAGTACACTCACTGAAATAAAAAGTTCATGGCATGAGTCACATGTCAGAAGAAAGAATAATTAAATTTGATAGAATAATAGAAATTATCTAAAGAACAAAGAAAAACACCTCATAGTCAAACTGCTAAAAGCCAGAGGTAAAGAAAATATTTTTAAAGGAACAAAAGAAAGATGTTATATACAGGAAACAATAAACAATATGGTTTATTGCTGACTTTTCCCAGAAACACGAGAAGCCAAAAGACATTGAAAGCCCAAGAGACTTTGTGAATTTACTGCATTTTCTGTAAAAGAACAGTGGTTTCCTATTCTTTTTAATGGCTTCCTATTCTATTTAATGACATAATCAAGGTGCTGAAGGGGGGGGCAGTGGAAATTATAACCAGTAGGTGTCCTTCAAAACTGAAGACAAAAATAAAGCCATTTTTAGATTTTTTTTTTTTTAAAGGGAAAATAAAACAGAATTTGTCACTAGCAGACCTGTGCTAAAAAGAATTGCTAGGGAGAAGTGACTTCAGATGGTAGTTTGGATAGTAACTCAGATACATAAGAAGGATTGAAGAAAACCCTAAATGGAAACATGTGAAGATGTAAGAAATATATATGTATAATATATATATTATATATAAATGTATGTATATATTTATATGCATATAGTATCTGTATCTATGTATATGTATATGTGTATAAATATATTTGAAAAACGTATAAATATATATGTGAAATTTATATATACACATATAATTTTTAATTAAAGACATGGCCATATAAAGCAAAAATTATAATACTGTATTGTTTGGCTTTAACATATAGAAATTAATATATATGACAACAATAGCACCAAAAGTAGCACAAAAAGGAATGGAGCTAGACAAATACAAAGTTCCAATATTTTATTAGAAGTTAGTGTTAATTTCAAACAGACTGTGGTAAGTAAAAGATGTATACTGTAATACTTAGGTAAAGCACTAAAAATAATGCAAAGAAATATAGTTAAAGTCAATACAGGAATTAAGATGGAACACTAAAACATTTGTTAACATAAAGGTACAAGGGTAAAAGATTAAAAAGAGAGAAAAATGGGACTTATAGGAAAAATTAGTGAAATGGTAGACTTATATTAAGGGGAATGAACTAAAAATTCCAATCAAAATTCCAACAAACTGTTTGACTGGACAAAAGTGAGATATATTGTCTGTAAGAGATCAGTTTAAGTTCAAAGATACAAATAGATTAAAGTGAAAGGATGACAAAATGTATATGATGCAAACATATAAACAGTAATCAGAAAGGAAATGGGATTATTTTTATTAATATCAGACAAAATAGACTTTAAAAATGAATGTTACTAGAGACAGCATTTCATAATAAAAGGGTCAATACAACATAAATAAGTTAAATATTATAAATTTATTTGTACCTAATAAGAGAGCTCCAAAATAAATGAAATAAAAACATTAAAAAAATCAACAATATAGTTGAAGATTTCAATATTCTTCTCTCAGTAATTGATTGAGAAAGTAGGCATAGTTGAGCAAGAATATAAAAAACTTGAACAGCACTACCAACCCACTTGATAGAATACTTCATCTGACAATAGCAGAATACTTATTCTTTTCAAACGTACAAGAAATGTTCATGAAATAAACCATATACTGAATGATAAAACAGGAGTCAATATATTTAAAAAGATTTCTACCATACATAGCATGCTGTTAGATGAGAATGGAAATAACTTAGAAATCTATAACAGATGAAATCTGAGAAATCCTAAAATATGGGGAAATTAAACAACATACTCATGAATCAAAGAGGAAATCACAAGGGAAATTAAAATATATATCAGGTTTAGTGAAAATGAGAACACAACATATTCAAATTTGTGCGATGTTGCTGAAGAAGTCATTAGAAGGAAATTTATTGCTTTGAATGCTTATGTTATACAAGAAGACAGGTCTAAAATCAGTAAACTAAGCTTTCAATTTAGGAAGCTAAAGAAGAGGAGAAAATTAAATGCAAAGTAAGTAAAAGGAAGGCAATAGTAAAGGTCAGTGTGGAAATCAACAAAGTGAAAAAGAGAAAATGAATGGAACCAAAAGCTGGTTCTTTGCAAAGGTCAATAAAATTGATAAACCTTCATCAGATTGAAAGAAGACACAAATTACCAATTAGGAAAGAAAGAGGGGTCATCACTACAGATCTTATAAACATTAAGCAGATAATAAGGAAATATTACTAACAACCTGCTCTGAAGTTTAAAACATGTTTTGTTCTTTTTTAAAAAAAATATTTATTTATCTGACAGAGCACAAACAGGGAGAGCAGGAGGCAGAGGGAGAGGGAGAAGCAGGCTTCCCGCTGAGCAGGGAGCCGGATGTGGGACTCCATCCCAGGACCCTGGGATCATGACCTGAGCCGAAGGCAGACGCTTAATGACTGAGTAACCCAGGCGCCGATAAAATATGTTGATGAAAGAAAACCTAAATGAAATGGAGGGGGATACCACAATCTGAAAGACCCAGGATTATTAAGATGACAGTTAACCCGAAAGGTATCTATAGACTCAACACAATCCCAATAAAAATCCCAGCATTTTTTTATGTAAGATACAAACTGATTCTAAAATTTATATGGAGAAGCAACGAATAACCAAAACAACTGTGAAAGAGAAGAACAAAGTTGGAGGACTTCAGTGACCTGATTTCAAAACTTACTATAAAGCTGTGGTAATTAAGAAAGCATTGGATCAACATAAGGATAAACATTTAGCTCAAAGGAACAGAATAGAAAGTTTGAAACTAGAGACACAGGCATATGATCAATTGAGTTTTGACAAAGGTGCCAAGGTAACTCACTGAAACTATATGAAGGATTTTTACAACTTAATAAGAAAAACAACTCAATAAAAAATGGACAAATGAAATCAGAGATGTTCACAAAAGAAGATATATGAATGGCCAATAAACACATGGAAGGATGAGCAACATCACTAGTCATTAGGAAAATGCAAATTAAGGCAACAAATGAGAAGCTACTATAAACCTAGTAGACTAACTACAATTTTAAAAAATGAATTAAAATATTAAGTGTTGGCAGGAATGTGTAGCAATTGAAACCCTCAAACACTGCTGGGGGGGATGGAAAACGGTTGGATAAACAGTTTTGTACTTTCTTATGTAGTTAAACATGCCATAAACATTAAGCTTACCATATGACCCCATAATTCCACTCCTGGGTATCTATCCAAGAGTAGCAAAAATACATGTCCACTCGTGTGTAGAAGCATTATTCCTAATAGCCGAAAAGTGAAAACAACCCAAATGTCCCTTGACTGGGCCATGAACAAACAAAATGTTATTATAATGTATTATATTATAATACTATAACATGTGGTCATAACATATCCATAAATAGAATAATACTCAGCCATTAAAAGAGAATAAATTGTTGATACATGCACCAACATGAGTGAATCTAAAAAGCCAGGATGCTGGGGCACCCGGGTGGCTCCATTGTTTAAGGGTTTGACTCTCGATTTCGGCTCAGGTCATGATCTCAGGGTTGTGAGATCGAGCCCAGAGTTGGGCTCCCCGCCAAGTGAGGAGTCTGCTTGAGATTCTCTCTCTCCTTTTCCCTCTGCCCCTCTTCCCTCTGTGCTCACTCTCTCTCTCAAATAAATAAATCAGTCTTAAAGAAGATAAATAAAAAGTATGATGCCGAGTGAAAGAAGCCATACACAAAAGACTACACATTGTCCAAATAAATCTGTATTAAATTCTAGAAAAGGCCAAACTACAGAGGCAGAAAGTAGACCAATGGTTGCCTGAGGCTGAAGGCAAAGGCACGTGACAAATTTTTAGGGTAATGAAAGTGTTCTAAAACTTGATTGTGTTGCTCGTTTGACAGTAAGGTATATGCTTATCAAAACTCATGGAACTATACACTTAGGGTGGGTCAATTTTTTTTTAGTATGTAAATTATACTTCAGTAAAGCCATTAAAAAATAATCTAACCTGACCTTCATGGTTTCTGTGACAGACCTGTCTACTTCTCCGGCCATCTTACCTTGGGGTCTTCTTCCCCAGATGGTGAAAACAGTGGGTCTGACTCTGCCCTTCCTTTTGGTTGGGGTATCCTTTCTGGGCATTCAATCTGGGCCGCTATTCTTGGTGCCCGAGGGGGCCCTGCAGCGCTGCTGGGGTCCACCCTGTGCTGTCCGCTCCTGTAGGCGGTGCCTGGCGTCCTGGTGATCCTCTGTCTCTGGTCCCTTTAGTGCCGATCTGATCCTTAGGGCGACATCGAGCATCTTTCTCTGGTGGCCTGGAGGCCCTCTCTTTCACTGCCAGGCATGGGTCCTGAAAGGCAAGTATTTTATAAGGAAACTTAACCAAAGGGAAGCACTGCTTGAGGCTGTACCTGTTTTAGACTTGAAGCTACAAAGAGGCAGGATCATCCTACGGACCCCAGCCCAGCACAGGGATGTTGGGGTGCCGTTTGTGAGACTTGCCCTCCTTGAGGAGGAATCCTTCCAGCCTTTTCCGCGGCAGGAGGCCTCTTGCATCCACAGAACCGGGGAGGACTTTGCCCTCTCCCTCCGGTGCGTGGACGATGAAGAAATTGACATCAGGGACTAGGCGGATCCTGCGGCCACAAGCAAGCCCTTCCTGTCCGGCTTCTACGGCCCCATTATGAAGTCACCTCCAAGAGGCTGAGTTCAGAAGTCGACCTGCCTCGTCTGTCTCCAATCCACAGGGATCCCTGGACTGACCCCCTTCCCTCCCACACTAGCTAAGGTATTGCCTCTAGCCCTCCTAGGTGCTGAACCGTGTCCCTCCAAAATTCATATGTTGAAGGCTTGACCCCCAGTGCTTTAGGATGTGACTGTATTTGGAGATAAGGTCTATAGAGAGGTGAGAAAGTGAAAACGAGGTCACGAGGGTGGCCCTGATCCACTCTGACCAGTGTCCTTATGAGAAGAGATCAGGACACAGACGTGCAGAGAGGGACATGGGGAGAAGACCGTGTCTGCACACCATGGAGAGAAGCCTTAGAAGAAACCAGCCCTGCTGACTCTTTGATCTTGGACGTCTTGCCTGCGGAACTGGGAGAACGCGAACTTCTGTAGTTCAAGCGGCCAGCCTGTGGCGTTTTGTGACCGTAGTCTGAGCAGAGGGAGCCCCCCCGCCCCCACTCATTCCCTCCCACACTTTCTTCTCCTCGCTAACTCCGTCACTCCCTGGCACTATCTGTTTCCTTGTTTCTTGCCAGCCCGCCGGCCCTGCAGAAGGTTCAGGAAGGAAGGGAGGAGACACCCCGGCCTACAACAGAGCCTCTGCTCGCTCAGCTAGGTTTGCGGAATGCGTTGTTAAGTCCGAATGGAGCCTGTTGCTCTGTGGCCCATACCGACTTTCTTTGAAAGCAAATGAAATCTTCTAATTACTCTGGTTCCTGAGAAGCAGATCCTGCCCCAGGCCAGTCCCAGAAGGCCGAACAGGCTCTGGGCTTGAAGGAGGAGACAGGCTAACAGGCTCTCCCTGAAGCCTGTTAGAACGAGCGCAGCTCTTTTCAGCAACGCCAAGCTCCTGCACCCTTACCAACCTTGGCCACCAGCTAAAGAGCAGATGGCTGTGGCTGGAACATCAAAGTTCTAAGTGTGTGAGGTTGTGTGCATGTGCATGCGTGTGCATGTGAGTGCGTGTGAGTGCGTGTGAGCACTGGGCATGTGAGATATGAAACCAGGAAGAGAGAAACAAAAACCGGTTTCGGCATACTTAACCAACGTATCAGAAACAGGCTCTCCTGCAAATTGGGTTTACGTCCGATCAGGCTTGCGTGCTTTGTAAAAATCTAAAAGTGAGTGATTTGTCCTAACTCTAACCCCAGCCACAGAACCCAGCATTTCGTGGGGATGCCGCCCCGTGTGAGCTGCTTGATGTAATGAGTGTGGGGATGCCCTTGCTCGGAATGATCTGACCCTTCCGATGAACCCCCAGATCTGAGCAGAGGTCTCAAAGACCCAGCTGTCCGCAGTGGTAGCCGCTGGTCACATGAGGCTATTTTCATTTAAATTACCCAGAATGAAGTTAGAGATTCGGTTCCTCCGTTGCTCGAGCCACATTTCAAGTGCTCAGGAGCATCACGTGGCTGTTGGACAGTGGAAATACGGAGCGTTTCCAGGATTACAGAAAGTTCTGTTAGCTTCAGGATAGAGAGCAGGCAGGGTTGGCAGAAATCACTCTAGGGGCTTGGAATGGGTTGGGGCCGAGTGGTCTTGGGCCTCGAAAGCTCCCCAACGGGGTGCTGGGTCTCTCAGGAATGCTGGCTGTTCGTCTGCTTATGTTGCCGTCAGCTGCAGGGAAGGGTTTGCTTTAGCTGACTTCCTGCTGTGAGCTGATCTCTCGGTGTTTCCGACATATTTTATACTCAGAACAATTCTCTAAGGTAAGTATGTCCTCATTTTTATGATTGAGAAAGCTGCAGAGCAGAGAGGCAGCTGATCCATAATCAGCTATAATTGACA